GAATAGGGTTGTTAATGCAGAAGACCAGAATTGGATGCTGAGGCAATATCAGCACCACAAGAAAAATGTCCAAGAAGGAGAAAAGCCCCAGGCTTGTTCCCAGGACAAGACAGACTACAGAGAGAGGCTGGTCTGGCACAGCTGACAGTGTCTAAAAGGCCTTAAATCCCCAGGCCCACCCACAGAAACACCTGTTCCTCCTCCTGGCTTTGTATGAGGGTGGGGGCAGCCTGCCTGCGACCTGGCAGGGTCCTGACACCAATCAGTGATGACTGCACCATCCCACACATGGCTGCTAGATAGTTTCAGTGTCAGCCTCGCATCTTATTCTTTGTCATAAAGCTCTTGTGTTTACCAGTGCATTAAATATAGCCCTGCAATAGAAAATCCTCATTTTCATGCTTGAAATACATTATCTAATGGCATATCTATTTGACTTTTACTACATGCCTTTCATTTCTCTAAGTGAGGTAATTGACCTTTACTTTGCTACCCTGTGGATTAAAAGGCTCCACCACACTCTGCATTTGATATTTCCAGACCTGCAGGAGCAGCAATTTCCATTTGCTTTTGTTCCCAGGCTGCTCTTTGGGCGGGCCCTCAAATGAAGGAAAATCTCAAGGCCCAGCACTGCATCGTGGCAGTTACTGTCCCCATCATAAGGCTTTTGTTAGAAAAAGCACAGGTCACTTCCTTTCCAGGGCCATCTGTGTGAAATTTTAAAGACCATGGGTTTGTTAGACTTCCAGAACCTTCTGCTTTAGTTTCAGATGACATATTCCCAGGCCCTGAAGGTCCAGTATCAACAGCATTCATAATATGTGGCTCCAGCATCTGAAAATTTAAAATGTGCCCAAACTACACAATTTCTGTGAGAGAAAAATACCTGGGTCATTGGGAGAGCCTAAATTCTCTTCCAGGGGGCTATACCTAGAAGCATTTCATGTGGTAATTTATGACTGATGCTCCATAAATCTCTTCAGGTGAGGAACTGGGAATTCTGAGATTCCTCTAGTCTCCCTTTAGCCCTCTGTCCCACAGCCAAAGTCATGAGAGGCAAAATGAAGTTGATGATGATGATGATGAAAGGGTGACAATGACAGCAAACACTTAATATATAGGAGGCCCTGCTTTACAATGCTCCAAAGATACCAGTTTGTTGATCTTCAGGACACCCTTAGGAAGCGCATACTGTTACGTTCACTTTTACAGGTATGAAAATGAAACTGAGGTTCTAAAATATAAGTAAGCTGCCCAATTTTAACACACTATCAAGCCGTGGGACCAGAGGTTGAAACATTTTCAACTTACAAAATAGAAGACCTAAATACAAGTTTAGAGCCTAATACAGACCAGAAATGATAGATAGATGATAGATAGATAGATAGATAGATAGATAGATGATAGACGGGTAGATATCATA